TTTAGAATATGTGTTGATTATCCCAATAATTCCCTAATGAATTAGTTTTAGTTTGTTTTGTATATATTTGGCTTTGTGTATTCACTGATGCTTATGACTGATACATAATGTATTTGTATTATGTTATTTTAGACTATTTTTACTGTAAACTGTTCAGAGAGCTTATGGCTAATTATGAATTGTATACAAAAGCTTTAATAAATAAAAACAAAAAATACAAGGGGTGAAGGGGATAAGCGAATTACATTTGCCATCCTTTTTAAACCAGTTTTGTGGTATGAACTAGAATGTCCTTCTAATACTATTATGTTCCTGTTAATCAGGAGACTGTGTCATTTTCTGTAAAGCAAGTTCCTGGTAAAAGAAGGGATGATGCTATTAAGGATAAAAATAAGGGGTATAAGGGGTTGCAAAGGTATGTTCTTTAAAAGACACAATATAAAAATGCTTTCTATGAGAGAAGCCACAAGCAGAAGCTATTGCTGTTTTTTTATCCATCTATATGATAATGGGCAATTAGTGTCAGTTGTGTTATTGTTTATGCCAGGTTTTTATAGCATTTATTGTTCATTTGTTTTTTTAAAAGAGAAAAAAGACAAAAGAGGATGCAGCATGCAAAAAATGCTACTGCATTCTAAATATCTAGTTAAGTAGATCACCTCTTCTATCCACAGCCAACAACATTATTAGATTCAAGACACACATATGCTTATTAGATTCAAGACACACATATGCTTCAGAATCACAATTATGAAAAAAAAAATGTACATGGCATAGGCAGTGCCTGCATTTTGTAATGATGGATAAACAGAGCACCAGAATTAATTTCGAAACATTTTGTCAGTACTGCGTATTTCTCTGTTTAAGAGGGTCAGGCTGTTTCTCCTCCATTTAGCATTACTGAAGAAGAAACAAATAGGAGGTATCTTGGAAACTTAAGTACCCTCACATGTGATGTTATTCTGAACCAATATATTTTGGCCTGGTATCAAGATGAGCCATGAATTCTCATTTGCTTGCCACAGAAATGCTTTGGTTTAGGAGCTACTTAACTATCTATCTTTGTCATGCCTCTTTAAAGCTTTAGTGCCTATTATCTAGCTCAGTAGTGTGCAAGTTTCCATGACATTGTATGAACATCACCTGACTGAATGTAAAGGTTAATTGTGTTTGAAAAATAGCTTTGTATTTTCTTGTGTGTAACAGATAGCCAAAGGAAAGAAATGACATCATTAAGAATAATTTCTTCTATTTTGTTTTGGTTCTCTAACATATCATTTGGTTAAGAAAGTACTAGTTTGTGGCTGCATTAAGTTACAGTCTTACCTGGCTTTGAATGGGGTTTTTTTAGGTTGGTAGGAAGTTAGATGTCTAGGCATCCATGGAAGTACACATTTCATGAAAAAAATTGTAAACTGGGGTTAATGTTTTTCTTTTATGCTGTCAATGAACTTCAAATGGTTAGTATGACTGATTTGCATACAGAAATACATTAGTTTGAAGAACATGTTATTTGTTTGTTTGTTTGTTTGTGGCAGTTATACCCCACACTTTAGACAAAAAGGCTACCAGAGCAGCTTACTAAATAAAGTACCATGCTAGTCCCTGCCTTAAGGCTTACAATCTAAATTTAAGACATGACACACAAGGAATAAGGGATTGGGATGGAGGATTTATTGTTTAAAAGCCTGTTTAAAGATTTTGTGATGGTGACCGTTTGCTTTCTCTCCAACTCACAGAGTGTGCTGCTGAGCAGCATTCTAATATGTTCATGATCGATGACTGTGTTCATGACTGATATATAAAGACTAAATAACCACTGGAAACTTATGGCAACTAGTGGTAATTGTTTTATTTACAACTATACAAGCAAAGCCCATTGGAAATAAAAAGACCCTTGTTCAGCAGGGAGCAAACTTGTTAACCCTGAGTCAGATTTCCTTGCAGTCTCTGCACTTCAAGGTATTTCAGTTTCTGCTACCTCACAGCTCTTTGCTTCTCTCGGTGTTTCTCTGTCTTTCTCAAATTTAATAATATTGCTTGTTCAAAACTGTTTCTCTGCCTTGCTTCCTGTATGTGAAGAGGACCACCTTCTGTGTATAGCCACTAGAAAAAATAGCCTTTAGTCACTAAAGATCAAGTTACTTTGTTAACGTTCCTATTTGCTTCCAGTGAGCGAGTTAGCTAGAACCAATCTGCAAGGAAGTGGGTTATTTTTAATTGTTTGAAAGGTTGTTGGTGGCAATCTTCAAGTCATGAAATACATCAGTAAGGAGAAAATATCAATTCAAAGGCAATTTACTTTATCTAACATTTCTACTAGTGCTAAAGTCACTGGAGTTCTATAGTATCTTGTTGACTGACTATCAAACTAGGCCTGATTTGGGAATTCTGTGAATAAATTTGTGGAAATGTTTTCCCCCCTGTTACAAAAGGTGTCTTGTAGGCTCTTAATCAGGAGTCCTCAAACTTTTTCAATAGGGAGCCAGTTGAAAGGCTGTGGCTACACGCGAGGCCTGGTGAGGAGGGGTGGCCTGGGCGCGCGGGCTGATGAGACGGCGTTCAGTGCACGTGGCAGCAGCTTGCTCGCTCGGAGATCTCCCAGCGAGTCCAAAACCATCTCCGAGCGAGCAAGCTACCACCTCCAACCCGCGGTGTGAGCACGCGAGCAGGCGGGGGGCAGCAGCACAGGCTGGATGAATGGGCATGGCGGGTCCCGCAGACCATAGTTTGAGGACCCATGCTCTTAATCATGCCAAGTTCCAGAGCTTTTGAGAATGCCCCGTATCGCCACACAAACATAGCTAAAATGTTATGTAAACACGTAAGAGCACACACAGGGGGACATAAATAATAGTTTCAAGGAAGAGGATTTTCAGTAAGAACGATCTTCACTACGGCCTTGACCTGGATTGTTGAGGTGGAATGGGATAGGGTGGGGTAGGATGAAATGGTTGCTTTTTGTAAAAGAAAAAAATTGTTCCTGTCATGGAAGTTTTTGATTGCATCTAACTTGCAGTAATGGTCAAGGCATCTTTGAATTATGAAATGAAATATGTTTAATAAGTTTGTGAAGAAAATATGTGGTACTACGCATTGACTAGAAGTATTTTTATCCATCATCTGTTCCTGTAGCACACATTTTTCCTTTGTTAAAAACTATTTTATAGTAACTAAACATCTGTAAGAGAATAGACTGTTCTGACTAGATCCTTGGAGAAGGCATGATAATCATTGCTTTTTTCCAAAATTAGCTAGAAGTAACTATCTGACATATTTCAGGTCCATCAGGTTTCTAAAATATGTGTCTTGGGTGAAAAGGAACATTATAGTAAAATATGTTACAATGTCTTCATTACTGTACATTTGACAATGGCTTCTATCAAAAATAAAAGCTACAGGTGATAGATAGTGTAGTGGTGACCAGTAAATACAGAACAGAAAGCATGCCTTATAGTTGTCAGTGCTTACAGCTGTGGAGTTACATATGCCAGAGTTGTACAGTATGCAGCTATTGTTTTACATTCTGCTTATGAGACACACTGACCTGTAAACATCTGTGGCAAATGAAATTGCAGTTGACAAAAGCATGAAAACATTACTTTGAAAGAGTACTTTTTATTGTAGCGTTCAGAAGTTACAAGAGAAATAACATCATTTTTAGGTGAAATGTGTACCATAGGCGTGGTCTTGAAGGCACATGAGACCAAGCACTAACCCTCGTGAGACTAAGCATTAAGACCTTGCCAAAGCTAGGTCATTTGTGACCCACCCAGAGGATCCTTGAGTTGTGGGGCAGCACAGAAGTAGAAATAAATCAAGCAAGCAAGCTAGCTAGCTAAGGAGATTGGGTGTGGTCAGTGCTTAGAGTAAAGAACCACATGTAGTCCTCTTGAAATCTCTGTGGAAGAAAGGTAGCATAGAAATGAAATACATGACTAATGTCACACAACCATGACAGAAAGATTGTGCCTACATTTGAATGGAACCTACATCATTGTAGGTGTCCCTGTAAAAATAAAACTGTAACAGATATGATATGTCCAACTTGGACAGTAAAGATACATTTGATGAAAAGTTCAATAGTCTTCCACTGTAACAATGCAATCATGTGTAAATTTGGTTGTAGGAAGATCTCATATACCTCCATGGAACTTAACTGCTCCATTTGGGATGTGTGTGAAAGAGAAAGGTGATTTTCAGACTTCAGTAAGCATACAACTTGCACCTGCAATATGTAACTGGGAGCTGGAAGTGAAATATTTTGGCCCTGCCTGGCACTAAGCTGCTGCGTTATTACACTGACAGCAAAAACAACCTTAGTGCTGTTGCAACTAATACTACTTACTACTGCTGATAATAAAAGTGCATCAGTAAAAGTGCCTTGTACTGCCTTTCTCATCTGGCTCTCATTCCAAACTGTCAGGTGAGTGCTGATAATTCATAGCCTAGAATTCTTTTATCTGAACAGCAGTATCTCTGCTATGTACTTTGGCAGTGAAGTTATATTGCTTTTCAGAAATCTTTCAAAGGTATACCAGGGTTTTCTTGGATCTTTACTAAACATTGCCAGCAGGGGGGAAAAAAGTAAAAATAAATTAGTCTTTGTAGGAAATGTATTTTCCTGTAATGAGTTTTAGTTGTTGTACAGAAGTGATACCTACCGGCTTGTTTGCTGATTGGTATTTATGTTACATTCAGGAATATATAAATGGTACATTCGTGCTATTTAATAAAGAAAGGTAAAACTGATTCTTTGCAGAACAGGTGAGGAAAAAGTAACTATGGATTTGGTAGCATTTTTATAAGGCAATTTTATACACACTAAAATAGCAGTTATCCTTCCTTTAAAGGATACTGAATTCAAAATAGATGCTCAAATTCAGTCTGAAGTTGTCCCCAGAAAAATAATGCACTTTGATCAAGGAGATACCTAAGATATTTTTAAAGTATATTTTTTGTACTAAGCTGAGCTGGTTCTGTCTTGGTTTTACTTTTAGGTTCCAGAGAGGTGACTATCATATTGATGTCTGCATCAATGACTATTTGGATGTATTTTGTCCTCATTATGAGGATTCAGTGCCAGAAGATAAGACTGAACGCTACATACTTTATATGGTGAACTTTGATGGCTACAGCTCCTGTGATCACACGTCCAAGGGATTCAAGAGGTGGGAGTGCAATCGACCTCACTCTCCAAATGGACCATTGAAGTTCTCAGAAAAATTCCAGCTCTTCACTCCCTTCTCATTAGGATTTGAATTCAGGCCAGGCCGGGAATATTTCTACATCTGTGAGTATATGAAGATTTGTCATTGTTGTATAGCAGCTGGAGGAAACTATTGTAATTTTTTACCTATGCAAAAGGCCAGGTTGTGTGTGCTACAGATGTGTGTAGGTATATATTTGTAGATCTTAGAATCCCTAGATGAAATAATCATTAATCTGGAAATGAAAATGAGATTAAAAGCACATTTTTCTTGTTCATATGAAACTGCATATCCAGCTGCATTTATGTGAAATAAATGAACATGGCTGGGGTTATTCAACAGGGGTTTCCTTACTCCCCCATTCCTCAGCATTCACACTTTTTAAAACAAAAGCAACAACACAGCAGTATTATTATAGGGTTTTTTCCCCTCAGGAAGGCTGATAGTCAAGGAAAGTGTGGGAGGAATGGTCCAAACTCTTGTTGGTTCTACATTGCAAATAGCCCACTTTTTAAAAATAAACTGAGGCAGCCTGGAAAGGAAAAGAGTGAGCTGCATATCTGTAATAACATGTTTAAACATTAAAGAAGTGTTGGCGTTACTTTCCATTGAGGATTCTTAAGTTCATCTTACCATTTGTGAGCAGAACAGGAGTATGTGTTAAAAACTTAAAATGCACTGTTTAAACTGATTAAACATTCTCATTATATCTGTTTAAACTACTTTAAATTATAGAAATGTAATGCGTCCTTAGGGTAAACATGAAATAGGAAATTATTCATTTCAGATATGCCAGATACTTCCACTTTTTATGCTGAAATGTCCTTGGGACAACTACAAATACTATAATACTTGCAGATAGTATATCTGCAAATACTACAGTCCAGCATTATAGAATATAATAATGGCTCAGGATATGGCTCATTGAGACTTTTTAACTTACAGCAGCTGTTTCTTTGTGCATGTAGGAGATAGAAAATGCAGTGGGAGCAGGTTTCTAAGCAAATTACTGTGAAGGTATTCACACACCTGCATCAGTAAATGAACACACACGGCTTCACCATCAAAACATTTTTCCAAGGAGATAAGAAGCCATCTTTCCATGATCTGTGGGTGAGAAAGTGAGAAAGCAAATCCTACAAATATGGTAACTTGTCACAAAACAGAGAAGTTTTAATAGGGTCAAATGAGGAAGCTTGGATTAATTGAGGTTTTGCAGGCCTCAGAGTCATACTTGATAGATGCAAAATTTGAAGAGTGATTTTGCTGTAAGAATGTAAGAAGAGCCATATTGGCTCAGTGGTTCACATAGTCAGCTTTCTGTGGGAAATTCGTGAGCAGGACATCACTGCATTAACACTCTCTTGCTGATACCCACTGCAGCTGGCATGCATAGCCATACTGCCTCTGATACTGGATGTCATAAAGGTTAACAGATATTTCTTTTCCTGAGTTAGTAAAGAGTTCAATTCATTCAGCTTATGTATCAGGAGTACAATATTTTCCAATAAGTTTTAGAGACAATATCTGTCATTAGTGCAGGTAAAGAAGCTGCAAAACTTTAAAACATGCACCAGAAACTGGGAGATGCCTGCACTTGTCCTCATGCCTTTAGTTGGTATCCAGGCTGTTACCATGTCAAATTTGTAACTAATGCTGTCTTCCTTCTTTGACTTCAGATTTTTTAAAAAATGAATAAATAGGAAAATTCTTACTTGCAGAAAGCTATTAATTCTTCTTTTGCTCAAATAAAACAGTTTGTTAACCAGGCAGCACAAGAGCAGTACTTTATACTGTAAATGCTCATCCTTACTTTTGCATTCCCTCTGCATGCCAAAGAGTAATGAAAATAAATTAGAATATCAACAGTTGAATTAGTTCACTACTGACTTCCTGATATATGTCATGTGAAAATATGTCAGAACCAAACTCTGGCTCATATCCTGTGAGTAAATATTAAAAGAATCCTAGCCAAGTGGAGATGGTTTTGAAATGAATTAATGTCCACCCTATGGTACCAGTCTGACTTATGCAGACATCCCCCTTGAGATTTCTGTGTCTCAAGGATACAGACCTATATTCTACTAGAGTAAGCAACAGGTGATTAGTGTGAATTTTATTACTTGAAAGTTCTAATAGAAAACTACCTAGCAATATTTAAGGAGAGCCATAAACTTCTGCTCACTTTCTTTGCTTGGTACAATACAGTAGCTCTACAAGTACCACTCACTGTTGCCTATTTGTTTCCCCTATGCTTTTTGGAAAAAAGCTCAATAAATGTGTAAACCATTTTATATGTAGTAAAATAGTGTAAGAAATCACAGTATAGTCTTACTACCTAATTGCTTATAAATTACAAAATTCTTTGGACTTTATGAGAAACACATTATTGCTGCTAGAATTAAGATTAAAAATGCATTGCAGTGTTTGTAGCTTGTTTCCTCAGTTGTGGCTAAATTAATATTTTACTTTTAAAAACCAATGTGCCTTGTACAACAGTGATTTAGGAGAATCATTTAATTGTCTCCAGTTCCCGTAATTGTTCAAAAGTTCTTTAAAATATAAAGAGGTTTTTTGTTTGTTTGTTTTTTTGCTGTTCAGTAAATTCATCTGAATATTAGAAGTTAAATGTTCATTAGCAGTAGCATTTTGGCCTTACATTCAATTAAATGAAATTTTCCTTCATATATTAGAGTCACAAAAGTTCTGTTTTATTCTGTACACTTCAGAACTGTATCTTCATCAATTTCACTAGTGAGAACAAGTAGTACAAAGCAGCCAATGCATGTTCCTGTCAGATCCTTGTATATGGCAGAAAAAAGCTATTTCGGTTATTGGCTGCCACTGTTCTGCTATGTAACAGTTAAATGTGAAAATCCTCGAAGAAACTGTGCTGAATTTTAAAAGAATCCCTTCTGATCATGTGCCTTTGAATAAACTAGGTCATGAAACAGTTCTTCATTTCTTGAATTACTGGCATATCCTTTATGTTCATTCTGCAGAAGTCTTTGGTAAGCATGTGCTTGTTTCGGAAGTTGTGAACTTTATTTTGTTGTAGATTGTTGCTCTCTTAACCAAAACAAAAGACTGTAAGTCAAGGTGTCTGTAAAGAACAAGATGCACTGAGAATCAGAATCTGGATCTGTGCTTTTACGAAAGAATTCACACATATTGACTCTACTTATAGAAAACTACAATTGAATAATGCAATGGGAATAATATACCAGGAGTCTTTTTTGGATTACTGATATATATATGCATAATATTAAAACAGAATATTTTGTTCAGACATACCACTGTGCAACTGACTGATGAGTTTTCCCCTGCCTGGCTCACAGCTTTTCCATTTTCAGTGACACGTCTGATACTGAATCTGTATTTGGACACATTTAGAACATTCTTCCATTATCAGCACCTGAAGAGACCCATGAATTATGAAACTACATAACGGTCTCTAACTCATAGATATTTGCCACTGAGAATCAAATGTGATTAGTCAAAAGAAGTATATGGATACCAAATGTAAGGTTTGGTGCGTGGGTGGCAGGCAACTATGTTCAGAACACCAGGACCCCAGTACAGGTGCAAGGTGGAGTCCTGCAGCAGGTTCAGAGAGCCAGAGGCAGGTTTGTCCTAACAGTCCAGAGTCAAAAGCCAGTGAGATGATAGATTCAAGCAAACCAAGCCCAAGATTTCACAATTCAGAACCATAGTCCAAGAGCACAGTCCAAAGACAAGTTCTGGAAAGACAATCACATTGTAGAGCAACGTGATCTCGGGGAGGATGGGTATAGATGCTCAGGAGACAGGATCAGACTGGAGACAAAGATGGAAGCAGGAACAAGCTGGAGCTGGGTGGGAGTCCAGTAGATTAGGGCAGCAAGGTGGGCAAGACAAAGCAGGAAATCAGAACATGAAGAAGTCAGCTGGACAGCTCATGTTGCTGGAGCAAAGAACAGCAGTGCAGGGAAGCCTTTTATTCTGGTCTCCAGGGCCTCCAGCAGCTCTCCATAATTACTCATCAGCTATTCCCTGCAAGCTCCTGCAAAGGTGTTCTTGCTTCTACAGGTACTTGCAGGGTGACTAAGGCTCTGATCCTGACACCAAAAATTGAGCACCTAAGCACATATTTCTCAGCCTAGTTATAATACCTTAGTGAATAGCCTGGGAAGTAAGAAAGAAATGAAGAGCTGGAAGGAAGGAAGGAAGGAAGGAAGGAAGGAAGGAAGGAAGGAAGGAAGGAAGGGGAACAGCATCATTAGGGGAAGGCATAAAAAAGTTTTAAATAAATAAATTTAAAATTAGACTCTCCATTCTTCTGGATAAATAAATTGGCCAGACACATGAATTATAAAACATGACAGTTGCGGCCACATCTAGGTTGAGTTTGAGTCATGTGTGTTAGCAATTTATTGGCCATGATCCAACAGTGAGGGGCACAAAGGAAGTTGGGGTCATTCCATTGTTATAGTTTGGGATAGTGAAAATTTTCTGGGACTTGTGTAATACTTTCTTCCATAGGGGTCTAAGGTTATCTTGGTCTGTTACCATTCTGTTCATGACATGTGAATTGAACTTTAGGAATGAAAATTAACCCAAGGAACTTGATCATACTTAGAAAGTTCAAAAGTTTTTAACATACAAATGCTACATCAGGACCTTGTTTTGCTTTTATTGCTATGTGCCCTTTTAACTTTTCAGTGGAATTCTGATTAGCATAAACAGCAATGCTTCTTTGATAGCTTCAAACCACTAAAATGACTCAGGGAATCTTGGCTTTGATAGTTAGTTCACCCAAATTTCTTTAAATACCCTGACTGAAATCAGAGTAATAGGAAGAGTTTGACAGATTTTTTATTTTAATATTGGTGTTTTTTGTTCATGAAACATTAAACAGTCAAGGTGACCTTTAAAAAGGAATTTTGCTTAATCTAGTGTGTAGATTAAAGGACTGCTTGCTATTAGAAGAATTAAATGCTACTCTTGTAAAAGAAAAGCTGGAACAATCACTACTGTATAATAGATTTTGATGTCAGTAGTGTTCTTAAAACCCTCAAAGGGAGTGTTAAAAGCTGTTGCATAA